AAAAAAAAAAATTTCTTCTTCTGTCATATTGTCAATCTTGAAGAGTACTGTTGATCTCGAAGTCAGATTGAAAAATCATATCGATTAATTTCTGAGCTTCGTTGGTATTGATGAACGAAAAAATTTTCGCGTCAAAGACGAATTATACATCTATCTACTAAATCTGAATTGACTGCGATTCAAAGAGTTACACCTATTACACACAATAATACGGTTGACTTGAAAAGTCGATGGACGTTGAATAATGTACATTTAACGCACTTGGCTCGAGGAGATTTTTCAAAGTTGACCCTCAAAGAGGACCCGAGACGAGCACCGGTCGAGCATTATTAATGAGCTTTGTAACGTCTTAAGACGTCAGCCACCTGTCTCGAAGATTTATGACATCATCCGGGCTAAATGTATCGAGATACGAATGATACAAGCAGCATTCCAGGCAGCATCCAGTTCGTTGTTTATCGTCCAGCATCAGAGCGACGAACGATCCTCGGTATTATTCTAAAATAGAAATTCGTCTTCCTCTGAACCTAAAATAATTTCCCGTATATATCGGCCGCGAGTCCCTTCTTCTCCAACTGTTGCCAAATCTCTGCGAGTCTTCGGGCTCAAACATTGCGTAAATCGTTGGTTACACGGCCGAGATTTGCATTGAAAAGGCTCACCCGCTTCGAAGCAGTACATCGATCGATTCGGCCGAGTGCAGCCCTCGTCGGGGATGTCCAGCTTGAGCGGCAGTAAATCCTGCAAGCCGTACTCCGAGAACACCGGGTTCATGCGCAACAGTCCTCCGTAACCGCTGCGCAGCTTCCTGCAAGAGGAAACGTTCCTTGCTCACTCGTATAGATTCTTATTTTTTATGAAAACAATTTAAAGGAGAAAGGAGTCTAGGAAGAAACAAACAAAACCTGCATCGTGCTTTGCATATATTTTATCTCATTCGAATCCAGAGTCTACTAATTTGACGTGACGTGAAATTTTCTATCTTGTATCCTGGCGGGATTACATGGATCTTGTTATTCATTGGAAAACAAGGATACTGTAGAATGTACCGAATGTATCTCGAACGCGTGTAACCACGGCCCAAAGTGAAAGATCGTCCGAATTCAGCTGACGAGTCAAAAGACGAAGGAGTCTCTCGATACCGTGGCCCGATTGAGCAACCGTGGATCTCATAATGCGATGCGGACTAGAAAGTGCGAGGAACAGAACACAGTACACGTAGACTACACGTTAGAAAATATGGAACAACGTAATGCTGATTTATTGTCCCGGGGCTGATGTAACGGATGGCGTTGCTTTGAGTTTCCAGCAGAACTCAAGTGTGTTGCAAAAGTGTGTTGCTCGATTATTATTGAGCGCGTTTTGCTGCTATTAAGGAATTATTGGCCGCTTCGTCCGAGGGAAATCGTCGAGGATGACCACCGTCGTAGTCGATCTCTTTTTACTTTACACTCTAAACGTCCACGATCTGCTGGTTTTTTACCTTTGAAAATCGGATTGATCTACACCGTGAATTTACACGTTCTGAA